GATGTGATAGGCGAAAAGACTGAGATAAATGGTCCGAATTTTTGAAAGCCTCCGGTTACGCTAGTAAAAAGTAGCAACGAGTTTCTAGAATAGGTATTATATCAGGTCATTTCGAAAGTCTGCGGATTTTTACCGTTCAGGTTAAATTGATCCGAAATATAGATCCAAGTTTTGATTATTTCTTAACACATTGATTGCCGTAGTGAAAATGACCTGTAAAAAATACTGTTTTGATTAATAACTCTTTAAAAATAAAAGATAAAATTATGCTGTCGGTTATACTTTGTTAATTCAATTAACATTTTTCGCCATCTTTTCTCGAAACATTATTAGCATAAGAATCGGTCTCGCTTGTCAGAATCTTACTACTTGCTTGAATACCTGGAATATTAATTTTATTTCTTACATTTTTCACGCAGCCATCTTCAAGATCTTATCGTGACGTTTTCATTATTAATTGATTTTGCAGTCAGTCGATACTAAAATGATAAGAATATTGAAATGATTAAGAATGCTTCTGAAACTGAAAGAGCAAATAATTAATCATTAGTTATTTTGAAACTAAAATTTCAAAACAGAATTTTTTTTATTGTTCAAGTTCTTAGCTGATAAATTAACAGAAAGTTTCTCTTATAGTCTACGAAAACTATCAGAGTATACTCTTGCTGGTTTTAATCAATCTGAAAGTGTTTCCCGTAGCTATCGCGCCCACATAATTAATTATCTAAGTCGGAAACCAAATAAAGGCTACTGCTAAATTATCAGAACAATAGTACAATTAATTCTAAATATGTTACCGACAAAAATATGATAATACTATTAGGTTCCAATATTCAATTAAATAATTTTAATACAATTGAAAAAAAAGAATGTGCATATAATTAATTGAAAAATCTAAATATTTGTGGTGTTGAATTAGTAAATTTAATATCACAGGGTCCAAATAGCAACTCTTTTATTGCGGTTCTCGCAATAGTGAAGATTCTGAAATAGTGAAGGTCTACGTTCATAAAGAGAGGCAAGTCTAGATTTTTGATTCTCATATTCTCGCGCCATTTTTCAAATACGTAGAAGCGCAGGAAAAAATTCAAATTTAAAATAATAATTAAGAAGGAGTAGTTTACTAATAATTTATTAGTAAAATAGGTTGACGAGATTTTACATATTTGTAGAGTGGAAGAATGTGTACGTAGCATACTTTATCTACGTTCTACATTGTGTTGGTGTTCACCAATGAACTTCTTTCGACTTCTCTACCGTGTTGCTTTGCATAGCATAGTCGTTGAACATACGCGTATCGCCGGAAAACATACATCACGTTTCAAGGAAAAACTAACCGACCGTTGGGACCAACTACAATGACACTTTTGATCCTATATTCAACATTGTACCCGATCCCATACGTGCAGGCAAGAATTTTTATCTCCGTTCTACGACTTTTTGAGGGCGTTACTTTGTAACATTGTGTTAGGAACAGTTCTATACCCTTGCGTTGGAGAACGAAATATTTATGTATACATATGTATATGTAAAATTATATTTTTGAATTTTTCTTTGAACATTCTTATACAATGATAGTTTAAACAATTTTTCATAAATTATTTATGCGTTGTAAAAAAACAATTGTGGTTTTCGAGTGCTTCTTTTTTAAAACTATGTAGTGGATCCATTTGAAAATTTAAGGGTATTTTCTTATATTTATAAATGAAAGAAAAGTAATTAGGCAAAAATAAAAATTATTTAAGTATCAGATTTTTTTTTTTAATACATAGGCAATGACCGGGAGAAAAACTGCAAAATTAACAAAATGGTGAAATTGGGTAGATTCTGATGAATATTTTCTCATAAATTCAATTTGTTTTGAGATTAGTGAACTTTTGAAAGGGGCAATCTCCCCTTTCGGATTCGCCCCTGCATTGTGGGGGTCTGTTTCTACATTGGTCCTTTTCTTGATGAATACCCACATGGTAGATGAAAGTTTTTTTAACTTCGTTTGGTCATTACGTAGAAGCAATCTTGATGAGAATATATCATCTCCGTTCGAAAATTTCGGGTTAAATATTTGAACACTTTTACGTTCCATATATAGGGTGAATTAATAATCACTTCTCATTTATTGTTATTTTGGCAAAATGTATCAGATAAAATATGCAATATTTAAAAAATTTAATAAAAATGTCTGATACAACTAGCAACAATTTTTCATCCGACACTTTTATTTTTACATTCTATTCAAATGTTATTTTCGTGTGTAAAATGAGTTAAATTATTAAGTTTTATGTTTTGTATATTAAAGTAGTTGTTCTGTATATTAATTCTTCTTTAACAATTTTTAACTTTGCCTTGGCAACTTTGTTGATTAATCATTCGTATGTCAAAGCTCATAATAAACAATTACGACTTATACAGGATATTCCTCATAATGTAGTACTTCCGGCTGAAGGGTTATTCTACATGCAAATGTAGCTTTGTTTTTAAGAAAATTATTCAAAATATTTGTGTTAAAAAGTTTGTTAAACAATTAATACATGTTATAAAATAATAAATGTAATTATTAATTACCACTAAAATATGGTATGACATTGTTGATGTACTAATGTACAGTGTTGATTAATAATACCTTTTATATATATATTAATAATTACATTCGTTAATTAGTAAGGTAATAATTGTAGTAATCATCATCGTTGAATATTTTAAAGAATTTTCAGATTTGATTTTCGGGAAAATGAAACCAGATATAGAAAAAATTCTTTCTACATTTTTGAATTATTTTTGTACGTAGAATCAACCCTTATAGTGCCACGTTGTGCGAGACACCATGTATATATATAAATGAAGAGGTTCTCTTCCTATATATCATTTTCATCATTGTAGCTGTCGAAAAGATTTTGTTCTCGACTCGGTTGCAGGAAGTTTGGTATCTACAAACGGTCTTTCGAGAATTTAGGGTCCGTTACGACATCGGTCTTTGTAGATGTGTGCCGCACATTGTGGCCAGGCAACCCAACTGCTGCTACATTGTGAGAAAAGGGCGTTCGTTAGAATCCTATCATCATTTTCTACATTTCTTAGGCCTGTTGCTACGGCTGTTATGGGTATTAGAACTATTATCTTAGAAAATTATTTCCACATTTTCAAACCTTAATTAAGTATAATAGGTTTTCTTAGAATTTATTCCACTTGTTGAATTGTTACACTGACCTGGTTCTCTACAGAAACAATGTAGAAATCGGAAACAGATTTTTATTTTCAATCGTAACTATTTATTTTTCTTTATGTAAAAAGTTTAATAATTTAGAACTTCGCGAAGAAATTTCTAATTTTTTAACGAAAGATTTTCAAAGATTAAAATAATAACTTAATATGAAATATAAAATTAAATTGAAATCGGAGCTCCCTTCATGTTCGAGGATTAATGAAAACAAAAAATAGAGGTCATTGTAATGTACATTTATTTCTTTATATTTATTTACATGTAAACTTTCTACTAGCTTTTTATTTAATTCTATTATTACAAAGCTTTATTATTTTTGTTAAAAAGCAAATATTTTACACTGCAGAAACATAATAAACAGTAGTTAATTCGATTCATGCACAAAAAAATAAAAATAAAATTGACTGACTCTAATGTTAGAGAACGTATTACATATGGTGATCCGTGCCCTAACCTGTAGTCAGGCCCGGTCCACTTCCTTTCCCGCCAATAATTCTGGCGCCAAAAGTTTCGGCGTTTCTATTGGTGGTCCACGTAGACTGTTGGAATCTATTCCAGCGCTGGAACAGAGAGAGACCAGACGCGTCGAACAAGGCAAAGGATGTCATTTAGATAACCTTTTATTTTAGCTTATGCCCTACGTATACGATCGTTCTTAAATTTTCTCACGCATTTTCTGCCGTGCTAATTAGTAATGCACGACAGATTGCTTGGACAACGTTGTTTGTTGTCCGTGACGCTATGTTGAATGATAAACGCCATGCAATTCATGCGCGTATTTCTCCTTATGTTTAGCGTTGTATCCCACCACTCCTTTCACCTTGCCTTACCGAAATAAGTCATCCTGACACGAACAGGTGCAACTTGACGTAGCTGATCCGATTAATTACTAGCTCGCACGAAAATGCTTCGAAAACGACAATTTCGTCTTTTCCACTAATTGCTTTACAGTTTTGGCAATTAATTTTCACTCTTCTGGGACTAGGATTTTGTATACAATGAAATATATTTTAAGTCCGATGATTTCATTGATAACGATTAAAGGTTAACAAATTACCTGTAGGTTATGCAATAGGATGTTTTTCGTAGAATCTGTATTATAATAAAATTCACTTATGTTATTTTAACTTTAATTACGTATGATTTTATATTATTTGAAGGGGTACTAATTTTTTTATCATGTTGAAAAAACCATAAGTTGGTAAAAGAAAAGAATTGAAACTTCACTACTGTTGGTAAGGAATAAATCTACCATTCCAACCGTCCTTGGATGATTTTTACCAGACGAGTTATTCTCTACAGACCTTTTACGAATTGCTTTTTTGTGCTACGCATCACGGGCGGGCTCTAGAGTCCACTTACCATTTTCGAGTCACGTTCTGCCATATCAATTGGGGCTGGTTTTACTGTATATTACAGCGCTTTTAGTGGTCGGAATTATAATAAAAAATGCTGGTACACATTTGAAGGCATAGTTGAAATACAACAGTTTATATCCTCAATTCTTTAATCCTTGAATCTTTAATCCTTGGGTCAATCGTGACCCAAACTCACAAAACATACAATGTTTTGAAACAGCGTACATTTTAGAAAATTAAAATAATTGTTTAACGGATTAAAACCTTGGTATCTCATATTTCTGCGCTATTTCATATTCGTATCTTCTCCTCTAAAAGTCATAAGTGTGTATTATATTCTGTATCCAGTTATTAATTTACTTGTCAAAAACTATAATAGAGATGTATAAAATTTCTGATGACATTTTCGTTGTTTTTGTTGACAGGCTAGTCGTACACTTGCACCCTGGGAACATTTGTTACCCTGTCCAAAGTGTTCATTCCCTTGTCACGTGGATGGCGAGAAAAACGTGGGAACGTGTTCGAGGCAAGGTTGCTCAATGGAATTTTGCACCTTCTGTTCGTCGAGGCCGCACACTGGTCCTTGTAAAACACCCCTGTTAGCTACGCCGACCAAGAGGAACAAACGGTTGGTCGTCGGCTCGAGGCAGAGTAAACGGAATCTCAGGAGATTATAAGCATTCCCTATTAAACGAAATCAAACGTTGATCGCAAGAATGAAAGTTGTTAGATGAATCTTTTATAAATGCTGTCACTTCACTCTCTAATGAAACGTTTTAGCGTATCGTCGAGAATTGTCAAATAGAATCGTTGGAATTAATTTAATTTAATTTTGTTGCGAAGCGTAGTATTTCTTTGAGAGTTAGTATCGTCCTCGTTGTTCGTTCAACATGCTTTCCAATGAAACGTGAATGTATGGACGAACGATTAATTTGCGTTTAATATTTTATATGTTTTAAAGTTGTGTACAAATTTGTGGGATTGAAAAATGAAAAAACCGATTCAAAGTTATAATGGATCGATTGATCGAGATTTCTAAGTTCATTATAATTTTGATATTACGATACAATCGCCGCAAGTTGATTTTAACAACTAATAGGAAACCAATTATTGGTAATAATTAGTGATAACCGAAATCAAACGACGCTTCTCCTTTCTCTCTACGTTACCCTTTTTGGGAGCCATACTTTATTTTTTACCAATGTTTTTAGTACTCTAGTACGCCACTTTGGTTCTTTGTGCCATCGTTTTTAAAGTTTTAAGGAAGAGATTAACTCGGCAATAATTAATCAAAAGGAAAAGTGTACAAGTACAAATATACAGCGTGAATATTAACCCTTTTACCACGGAAGACCACTGGACCAACTATTCACAAAACTAACCTCAATATAAAGAAACATAATAAACAGTGGTCGTCCGGCGAAATTACAAGAAATTATTAAAATCACAAATATCTGGTTAAATTACCTGATGCGACAGACAAATATTTTTTTACATAGCGAAGTACACATTCGCAGGTTATTTTTCTATTTAATGATAGTATTTAAAGAAAAGGGTTAATACCGAATAAAATAGTTTAGAGTAACTCGAGATATTAGCAACTAAACGTTTATTTAAAAAGTGCAAGAAATAACACGTAGTTCCTCGTTACATGCGTAGCATTCACATTCCTTCGTTTATTATTTTTATTTTTATAATTACGCGTTTATGCAAATTGTAGGTACCTCGATTAAATATTAATTTGTTTAAAAGAATACCAAATTTATCGATCAATCAAAACTTATCTCCTAATTCGTCGCCGATTAATTTTAATAATTTAATAATTTAATTAAAAGATGAATGTTTATAGTAATTCAAATTTATGTGTGTCTGAAAAAGATTATAGTATTATAGAATTACTTTATTTTGTAATATTTTTCGTTTAGGTAATCAATATATAACGTCACAATTTTCTGGAAAAATTTTAAACATCATGTAAACAATTACTTAATGTACAAAATTTAAACCAAATTGGTAATCCGAATATCTTGCCACTTTTTATACGTAATTCTTCTCTAATTAAACATAGAATTGAGAAACGCGATTCTTTTTTACAATGTCCATTTGCAGTTTTTAAATATAAGACCATATATTAATTGTTTGTAGCAATTGCAAGAGCAGGATGAGATTTAGCAAAATAATGAGTAATTGTGAATATATCGGTTGTTTAAATTATGAAATTGAAAAACAGAATTCACCACTATAATGTATTAGCAAAAGAAACATTACATACTCTAATCTGCTTTAGTATATCGATCATTATTAACCACTGATAATTCAAATTGAACGAAGATTCTATTTTGCTCTCTTATCATCCTTCTCAAAAACTATGTTTTATTTTTCGATAATATTTTTAGTATTATAGCAGGCCAATTTCAGGTGCCATTTTATTAAAGTTTGAAATTTATTTTTATTTTTTATATTTTAATTTCTACCGATCTAGAATTTTTAACGTTGTAGCGTTTGTATTTATTCAGAATGTAAATGTGAATTTTCATGTGGCTTTTAAATCAAATTTACGTCCTGCGAAAAATTAATGTAATCCATTTCTACGAAAATTTTAACCCAAACAACGTTCAATTATAACGATATAATTGTAAATTGTTTTTAAAATTAACGAAGAAATGTGAGTGCGACCCGTATACGAGAAGAAAACGAATGGGAACTGTTTGTCTTCGTGTGATTTTCGTATTTTTTATTTCTGCTAAATAGACGTTTAGTTGTTAGTATCTTTAGTGCCTCTCAACTGTCCCATCTCACATAAATTATAGAAATATGTTCGAACCTGTTTTGTATAGCAGTTAGACTTATTACCATTGTGCCTTATATTTGTGCTTCCAATGGAAGTATATGTAAGAAAATAGTATGTAGAAAATACCAAAACCTTCAACACGGTTTTCTCGCTAAAGTTTCAGTATTGCGTACTAGATATTTTAGTATAACTATTATGTACGGTGCGAATTAGATATACGTTTTGAGCTGCGATTGTTATTTTCTTAAAGCAATGAGCTTCTTCTGTCAATTTGAAAAATTATGTTCTTTGTAAAAAAAAAAAAAAAAAAAAAAAACAAAAAAAAGAAGGAAAAAAGAAGTGTATAAGTTTGTTAATTTCAACATGCTTATTGTCTAAGAATGTGAAGATGAAGAATTAAATACGTTTTACTTTTAATATAAAATTTCGATATTTATTTGCTACCTAGCAACAAGTTCAAATAGTACATTTTAAACATTTAAAAACTTCCATAACAGTCTGAGAAAGACTGCAACAAAAATCGTCAGAATTGCCGCTATTCTGTATTTAGACGGTTTCATCTCGATCGGTATCCCAGACACAGTTCCTTTAGGTAAGCACTGTTTTACCGACGGAGAGATACCTTCGTTTGTCGGTTCTCCCTTCATCGAATATTTCGTTGTTTCTAGGATTTTCACTTTAATCATCTTTCCCAAGTACCCCTCTTTCAAAGGCACCAAAATCTGTTCGTACGATTTATTGTGACCAACGTAGTGCTTTTTATCGTGAGATATTTCCGTGACCAGCACATCTTGAATAATACCAACTCTATTATCATCGTACGGAAAGTAGGACTGGAAAAATTCCGACAACCTTTTCGTTCTCTTCTTTACATCTTGCGTGGGTACTTTCTGCATTCGAGCAGCGGGTGTACCCGGTCGAGGGAAGAACTGATTGATGAACAAACTTGGAAATTTATGTCTTTCGCAAAGCTTCATCGTCTCTTCGAAGTCCTGCTCTGTTTCCGTTGGAAAACCGCAAATAATATCCGTCGCTATGGTTAATCCTGGAACACGTTCCCGTAGAAAGTTTACGACCATTTCAAAATCGGCGCAAGTGTATTCTCGCTTCATGTCTGCCAATACTTGGTCGCTCCCAGTTTGTACCGGTACGTGAAGGAAACTGTAGACTTTCGGGTGTCTCAAAATCTTGCTCATTTCCTCCAGATGTTCTAGAATGTAGGGTGGATTGGTCATTCCAAGGCGAATCATACAACCATCAGGCACCACCTCGATCAATTTCCACAGCAATTCTGGCAAACTTGTACCAATATCTCTGCCATAGGTGCCCGTGTCCTCGGACGTAAGCCATAATTCGCAAACTCCTTCGTTGAACGCTTGCGTAGCTCTTTCAACGATCTCTTCAGGGGGATAACTTCCCAATTCCCCTCTCGCATGTTTCGTTTTGCAGTAAGTGCATTGATTTAAGCAACCCGTATTAATGGCTATAATTTCTATTAAGGGATTTCTTCGGACTTTCGGCAACCTCAGCGAAGCACCGCCAACTTTTTTCCCAGCTTCTTTTTTCTGCTGTAAAAATCGAACCGTGTTTCCTTTCAATGTTTCTTCTACCACTTCCACCACACGGTCGATCTGCTGTACGCCGATTACGCTTAACCCTTGTAGAAAAGATGACTTGGGGGCACCCTGTGGTACACATCTGAAAAATATTAGATTTAAATGTAACTTTTAATGCTTTATGTCACACTATACTTTAATTAATAATTTGTATTGTGTACGTAAAATACAAAAGTCTTAATACCCGGCAAGTACAATATGTTTCCCCTGTTTCCTTCCAACTTCGATTTCGTTTCTGAAATGATCTTCGGATGGACTCTTTACTGTACAAGAATTCAACAGCCACAAGTCTGCTTTATGTTTGTCTTCTGTCAATCTGTAACCATAGGCAGCAAGCTGACCTGCCATATATTCACTGTCAGAATTGTTATGAGTGCATCCCCAAGTTTTTACGTAAATCGTTTGTGTTCCTGGCACAATACTGTCGAAAACAGGAGGTTGTGGTAATTCCTCGTGCAACTGCATACGCTTTGGACGAAATGTGACATTCTTTCTGGAACTATAACGTTCTTTGGGTGTAATATCTTGTGATGATATTAAATCTTCTATATCTTCTATAATATCTTGACACGGAGCTAACATTGCTTACAAAAGTTAAATCACATAAGATATTTCTAGGTTAGTTGTCTCTCTTGAGCCTGTTTAATTATTTTACTTTCAGCTAATTCTATGTTTTGCTACTGAAAAACTAGTCGAGGTCTTAGTAGAAACAATCGTTTTATATTTAATTTTTTTATATAAGTTACATATTGAAACAACTTTTTCATATTATTTTATAAGCTATAATACTTTACACCATGCAGTGACCACTGCACATGTGAGATTTTCGAACTTCTTTAGTGACATCTAGCGTAATTCAATAAAATTACATGATACACGTTAGCTACGAGGTCCCTAACACCCCAGATGCCATAATGTCGGTATACAACGAGTATCATCCATACTGCGGGGTCCCTAACACCCCAAGATGATATTAGGTCGGTATACAGAGTCGCAAGGGGTCCCTGACACCCCAAGACGATATTTTATCGGTGCGCAGAGTCACGGGGGTCCCTGACACCCCGAGATGATGGGTCGGTAGTGAGAGTCGCCGGGGGTCCCTGACACCCCAAGACGATATTTTATCGGTGCGCAGAGAGTCACCGGGGTCCCTAACACCCCAAGATGATAGGTCGGTAGTCAGAGGCGCCGGGGGTCCCTGACACCCCAAGACGGTATTTTATCGGCGCGCAGAGAGTCACCGGGGTCCCTAACACCCCAAGATGATATTAGGTCGGTATACAGAGTCGCCGGGGGTTCCTGACACCCCAAGACGATATTTTATCGGCGCGCAGAGAGTCACCGGGGTCCCTAACACCCCAAGACGATATTTTATCAGTGCGCAGAGTCACCGGGGTCCCCGATACCCCAAGATGATATTAGGTCGGTGCTCAGAGATAGTCCTCGCCGTCCTTGTCAATGATGATAAAAAATATACTTATGGCCACTGGTTCGAGTAAAGGTAAGTAAAGGTAAGTAAAGGTAAGTAAAGGTAAGTAAAGGCAAGTAAAGGGAAGTAAAGTCTCGTGAAAAATAATTTTTAATTTAAATTTTTCGAAAAATTTAGTTCCTTTTTTTACCACCAGACGGCGCTGATTCGATGTCGAAAATTTAGTTCAAATTTTTGCCGCTAGGGGACTACAATTTTTGCATGATTTAGTCCCTTTTTTTACCGCCAGGGGCGCTATTTTTTCGAAAACCTTTAGTTCAAATATTCCCCGCTGGAGGGCGCAAAATTTATTCATATTTTAGTTCCTTTTTTATAGCTAGAGGGCGCTGTATCGATGTGCGAGATTTATTTTTTAATTTTTGCCGCTAGTGAGCTCAAAATTATGCCAAATTTAGTTGCGTTTTTGCTACCAGGGGACGCAGAGATGTAAGGAATGCAAAGATGTAAGGGATGCAGATATGTAAGAGGTGCAGGAATATAAATAAAGCAGTAATGTAAAGTAAAGAATGCAATGCAGAGATGTACGGGATGCAGGGATATAAAAAAGGCAGGAATGTAAGAAATGCAGAGATGTAAGAGATGCTGGGATGTAAATGATGCAGAGGATTAAAGCATGTAGGGATGTGAGGGGTGCAAGAATGTAAAGGGTGCAGGCAAATAAGGGCTACTGGCATGTAAGGGATGCGGAGATGTAAAGGATGTTTGTAATATAAGGGATGTAGTAAAAAATAATAATACACTAAAAGAAAGTAAGATGCTATTCTTTATTCTGTAATCGTTAAACTACAGAAATTGATCATCAGGACCGAGAAAACTGTCGGAAATCCCGACATGTAATACCCGCCGACCGAGTTTCAGACAATAAAATCGTTATAATTAATTAATTACTGGCTAATTACTAAAAAAAAGTTCAATTCCTAAGGTTCGTCTTGTAATAATAAAAGCGAGCCTCGAGCAGAGTTTAAGTAACGCAAGAACGCGCGAAAGTATCCTTGTTTTCGCTTGATCGCGCGAGGCAGGTACATAGGTGGTAACCGATGCCGCGCGGATCTGTCGCAGATCGATCCCGAATCAGCGAAGCACGTTAGTTGTAAAGAGGGTATCGGCCGGGAAAAAAAAGTCCAACGATCAGAGGAAAGCATCGATGAGAGTGGCGATGGGGAGGGGTTAGCAAAATACGATGCTTGCGACCAGTTATGGTGGCGACCTGCTGGATGGTGGGGTTGAAAGGTGGCGCAGTCATTTATGGTTGCCGGTTCATCCAACGGTTCAGTTGTCCGTCGGCCCAACGGCAAAAACCTTGGCAACCGAACGTACGATGAAGTCGCAATTCGAATCCGTAGTTGTCACGTTCGGACTGGTGGCTTCGAGGTAAAAATTCGACATGAAACTTCGACGGTTCTTGCGATGCTTTCTAGTAGCCTTAATAGTTCAGAAGTACACCTGAAACAAAGTAATTCGTTAGGGGACAATTTATAGACGAGCTGAAGTTAAAGAGTGCGCAAGTGCAAATAATAATTTTGTTGAAGGCCTTGAATAAAGTATTGCAAACTGTAAGGCTTTGAAAGAATGTGAAAACTACTACCTGGTGAGAAATCTTGATATCGGAGATGAGTTCCCTGAGAAGATCTACGAATCAGTCGACGAGAGATGGTGCATCCGGTAGGAGACACGCGCTTACTGGAACCAGTTCGAAGAGCATGAGGAACGTTCTCCACACGACCACCGCCGTACCTGGTTCACCGCTTCGGCACAGGACCAAATACGAGTTGAGAAGCATCAGCTTGGAGGGCACAAAGGTTCTCCCGTGGACGGCACGGTATGTCTTCAAACAGTTATTCCTTTCTTAATCTCGTTGAAGAAATTGATTACTAATCGGTTTCAGTTGAAATATTGACGCAGAACAAATTTTATTATCTATATTCAATCCAATGTTATTTAAAACAATTGCAAGGTAAAAGACTGTTAATAATATTTCTTTTTTCATGATTGTTTGGTCCTCTTCAAATTACTGTTTAAATAATGATATAATAATTACACATATTGTGTTGATAAAATATAAACTTTCTATTGTTATATATAATATTGTCACATTTTAAGAAATACAAGCGAGATTGAATAAACTGAAATATTAACATATTTATAACTAATAAAGTTAAAATGCTGTATAGCCAGGTAGTAATTAATCGCTGTCTATTATACGACCATCAAGGACAATTTGCCATTTATAAAATAATATTGTAAATTTTTTGATCACAAAAAAAATCTGTTCTACCCCCAAGCATCAGGTGCGCACATCGATCGTTATCTAATCTTTCCAGAAATAAAAGCGAACCGGTTGCTTTTTATTTTAATATGAAATCGAGCGTCTCCTAACCCTAACCTATCTGTCCTATATCGATCTCCTTCCGATAATTGATCTAGGTATTCGCGATCGAGCGAGCGCACAAGGCTTCATCGGTCGATGGCGTTAATGACGACGTATCGGATTTTGAGGAGGCTCGCCTCTCTTTATAATTAACTCTTTTGCTATCGGACCGACCGATGTCCCGACCGTCGGTATCTCTTTTGTGCCGCGTAGATCAATTTCGATCACGCTCGACCAAGTGGAAGTCGACCGTACCGTATCCCTACTGCACCTATGGATAGGGACCGGAACGTAGGTTAGAAAAGGTACAACAGGGGGACACGAGTGCGCGGCACGACAATGCGGAACATCCAAGGAAAACTTGATCGTTGAAATTTTACACGAATAAACCTAACGGGGGGAAAAGTTACCATCGGTCAATTTTCGGCTGAAACTGAGGTTAAAATATACTTAACCACGAGGGTAAACAAAGTTTAGTATATCAACCGATAACGCTTCAATTCAGGTGTAAAAAAAAAAATAGATTCACAAAATTGTAATTGCGTTCATCCGAAAATAACAATGTGGGATTTTTAAATTAGCGCGATGAAGAAACAGAGGATAAAAGGAATTTATCATACGCTGTGTTATAATATTACAGAGCAAGGAATCTCTAATTATTTTTTAAGAAAATCCAAAATTAAAATGACAATTTTTTAGTATTAAACCATCTTGGATTTTGACTGAAATTATGGTACTCGTTTGACACCAGATAAGTTCTTAGTTTGAAGTTGTCATGTGAAACAAAAACGCGGGAGAACTAGACCGTTTCCGATTATTTTGTTCTGCGAATATACCTATTGAGAATTGCGTCATCTCGATGGCCCACATTCACAGCGACGATACCAGTAAGCGACCAATACACGTGTGTATTGATCTTGCTGATACGTGTGAAAAGTTTCATAGAGATTATTAAATAGAAAAATAACAAGTAGATATGTAAACTATATGTATACTGTTTCTATGCAGTATACTGCTACTTGACATAACTAGGTAGGGGCCAGGGTGGGTCTAGTCCCTCCCTAAAAATGTGGGCCTTCATCATTCGAAAATGTATGAACTGAACCCCTTATTATTCTAAAATGTTAAAATTCCAAAATTCCAAAATCTTACTTCGTGAAAACTTCAGAATCCCAGAATTTCAAAATTCTTAATAGATCTGGCCCATTCCAGAAAAAATCTTAGTTACGCTAATATGTGTGCTTGCTTTACAGTCTCCGTTCTAAGAGTAATAAAAAAATGTTATAAAGAAATAAGAAAGGGTGCGAAAAATAAATGGAAGGAAAGAAAAATGAAGGAAAACGGGGAAAAAGCAGTGTAAAAATGTTAGGAAATGGAAAACCGGGAAAAGTGAGCAGAGGCGCGTAGCGGAGACAATGAAAAGCGGGAGAACGACAAGAGACTGGGCTGGTAAAACAGAATAGTGTAAGACCAAAGCAATTACTATAGATCATAGATCTACGAAGACGCGTGTTTTTATTATAGTTCAAGATTTGAATTAATACTTACATTATTATTCATACTAAATTTGATAAAATTTAATGGTTACAAATTACAATATGTTTTTCTAAATCACTTTTAATACTAATATCGTTAAAATTAAGATTTTGAGATATCGCCATTTTCCCTGGGGAAGCCTGATTTGATTGCCAGTGTACATATGTATATTTCCAATTTTTTAGCCTACCGTTCCATATTGCTTGGATTACTTTCTTTAATCTTTTTCTAGCCATTTGCGTATCTCCATGCTTCATTCCTTATTCCATCTTTCTGATTTCTTTTCCTTTTTAACAGTCCTAATGCTCTGTCTACGTCTTCTTCTGTTATTGTGGGTTTATATCTTCGCTCTCAGCTGTCCAATCTCCACCTTCTGTGCCAGTTTTTTGCTTATCACTCTGTGTCTCTTTTCCGAAACTTTTCCTTTTCTTCTAAAAATATCATACCTTTGTCACCCAGTGTCTCCCTTCTTTTTCCGTGTTGATTATTTCTGTAACTCCGGTTAATTCATCATTTCCCTAATTCCTTCTCCGCCGTTCTGTTTACAATGCATCTTATGTGTTTTTTCTCCCTTAGGAATTAAGTCTGAATTTCAATTGATTAAATTGTCTTACTTACAATTAGTGTTCTGTTTAATCTCATTTTACTTCTTCCGCGTCCCTTGCCTATTTTCTTATTTTCACTATTGCTTTCTTTATTCCATTCGCCAGTTTAATCCAATCTACCGGTGTATTTTCTTGCGATCTTCCCAACCATTCTAAATTTCTTTTTTTCTATTTTTCTATTCCTTTTACGCTCCAATTCTCTGTCTCAATCACCCCTTTCCTTTCCTTCCATTCTCTCGATAAGGGAGGAGTAGTTTTGAGTACGACTAATTATCCTAATTAGACAATTTTTATAGGTAAATAAAATTTGAATTAAGACTCTTCCTTCTCGCCCGAATAATAGTCTAAACGAGTTTTGCAAATTAACCGGAGATGTAGAAAATTTTGAATCTTCCACGGTTATTTTAAGACAGCGTGTATCGTGGCGACGAATTGATAGAGAAAGGTGGAAAAAAATCTGTCCATTTTGGACAAGAGAGCGTTCAAAACGCAGAATCCAAAAAAGAAGGAAGGAGTGAAAGGGATGGATGGTAGGAGCGCGGACCAGAAAGAGATAACCGGGCGGATGAGAGACGGCGGTGCTAAGACAACGAGTGCGAGAGAAATGACGCGATGGCGTCGAGAAGGACGGAAAAGAGAGCCAATGAGCTCGACGTCGCGGCGCCAGTCGTCGAGTCGTCGTGTTACTAGGAATACGAGCTCTCTCATCGTGGTTTGCTGCGTTCTCGTTTGAAAAGAATCGTGTCCCGGTTGTCAGTAGGGGTTGCAGACCCATAGTAAACCCATTGCCGATCGATTATCTTCTCGTTCGATTTCTAGATCCTTTTGAGAAAAAAAAAAAAAAAAAAAAAAATCGGACGTTCTGGTGCATCGAATCTTTTTTTCTTTCCTTTCCTTTCCTTCCCATTTGTTTTGCTTTCCTGTGACAACACGTTCGTACATCATCGCTTGAAAATCGAGGTCGTGATCCGGATTCGGAAACAGTGGGTTGTGTCTTGACGTGGAAAGCCTTGTTTTATTTTATTCCTTACTCATCTAATCGGTTCGAAACTTGTGCGAATAACCTCTTCGTCGTTTCGAGCAATGCACGCTGGTAAAGTATTCGGTTGGATGTTCGGTAACTGTGATACACTGGATGCTGTAATTTGTCTGCAAATGAACTGGAAGCAGAGCTAGTACCTTCGATTACCAGTTGGAAAAACTTCTGTGTCAATTGCGACGTTCGAGTTAAGCGTTCGACTTAAGTAATGGTAATAGCGGGACGAAAGGGACGTCGTGAAGTAGGTAACCAATTCGTTTGAACATTCTTCAAGAAGTAATTGCCTGCGTAAACACTTCTTTGGAAAGTAGATAGAAAGAAATTTTAGAATTTTAGATGCTGATGTTAACTAATTGTTATTTTTTTAAGTTTGAACTTTGAGAGTGTCCTTTCAAAGTTTCTTAACTACTCAGGTTGGGATTATACAAAATTGTTTCAAAGCTTGTTGCACGGCATTAAATTACAGGTATTTCAAAGACCCTGGCAAATCGTATTAGTTGTAAAAAAAAAACCACCAGATTAGAGGGATTTAATCGGAAGTAAATTCATAAAAACGATAATGACTGATAAGGGTCAAGCGTTGGGCTAGTAACCCCCATGATCGAATCGTGTCGTCCAATCAAATCTAGTATACTTCCCTACTCTTTTTAACCCTTAAAACGCAGAGCGTGAGCCAAACTTAAAAAACGTATACAAGGGTATTAACCTAAAGTTAAATGTATCATTTTTAAACAAAAGGGTTTCATATATTGGAAGAATAATTTTTAAAGGAATAGTATAAAATTTAAAATTGAAATTTGTAAACAAATTCTGGTTTTATAAATTTTTTCTTCTTTTAATTCAGAAATGTTCATCCTTTAAGCAGAAATTTATTTATAATTCACAAAATTAATTTTTCAATTAGAACAAGTGCTGTTACAACTGATTAAACCTTCTGGATTAAAATAAAAATGAACTGAATTCGACGAATAGATGCCGAGATAAAAATTTATATCTGCATTTTTCAAACGAATTCAAAATCAAACCCCTTAATTTCTCGTGCCATACGTCATATTTCGTTTCCTATAAATCTCCGATATTGAGGTCAAAAAACGATCGATCGAGAATGGGGGGATGACTCTTATGCAATGTACTGAAACGGAACCTTAAAACAGAATGCAGTGTACGATCCTGTGTGCCGCTTCTTGAGGGTTGTTTCTCACTCGCGTACAACGGCGAAGGAACATACACCGAGAACTTCACAAAGCTGTTATAGTAGCTGTAACAATATGTATACAGTAGGATCTCAATTAACCGGGCTTTCGGATTTGTTAACAACTTCTCCACAATCGTTTGTTGCGAATTCTGGCAAACAAAAAGGATTTACACGATATTCATTCTTTAGATTAGTTCGTCGCTTTCCCGATACAATAACGAAAGATTAATAAAAGGTTGAAAAGATTAAACATAATCACACCATTGGGGAATCCGCACATCCCTCGTAATTCCTGAAACGCGAGAGCTCCGGGCAGTTGCCCTTCTGCCCTATAATCTGGCCTAAATCAAACTTGAAAAGTAGTAATTTTTAATATAATATAATTAATAATAATAATAATATAAGAGCCGTTGATTTTATAAAATATGCAGTCATCGAAGTTCGCGCACTAGAAGGCCCGGCTCCGTCAAGTTAAAAAGTCACAGGGGCAAGGAATCGTGCGTTCACACCGCCCAATTCTTTTCTAATAGGTCCACTGTCTGACGAAATACGCGAACGAACTCATTCTGTCGTGTCTTGTTTCGTTCGCGTATTTCGTCACGCAGTGGACCTATTAGAAAAGAATTGGGCGGTGCGAACGCACGAATCTCCTTACCCCCGCGACTTATTAGCTTAATGGAGCTCGGCCTTCTTCCAGCGCGCGAACAGATCTAATATTGAATTTTTGGAATAATTTTATTAGATCAATTACAATTTCATGTTTCTATCCTCTGTATCATTATCTTTCTAATAAGTGTAAATAACAATTACATATAAAAATCATTCTATTTCTGTGTTTATCGTATTTGATTGTTCCAAATTTTCAGTTTAGATACTTTTAATTTATACACTTAAATTATTTATTTAAAAATTTGTATTTTCGTCTAAAAAATTTGCCTTATTAACGATTTTTAGAATGTCTGACAATGAAACTGATTCTTTAATGATGATGCATATTTTAGATTTTTCAAATATTCGAGAGTTTACAATCGGAAAAGTGTGCCGAGAAAAGTAATTTGACAATTATTAAAACATTTTCGACGAGCAGAGTTCGCTCGAACAATTCCAATTAATTACCGTAACGAATAAAGTAGTAAATGGCTGTTTCTGTTTGTTATATGCTGTTAATTAAAATGTCGAAGTTGAAGGACGCTTCCTATATTTTAATCAACTTGAGGACTTTTTGATACTCGTTCATTTCTGTGAAATTATTACAAGTTTCTTTTGCAACCCTGGGTAATTCCGGATGAAAGGAATCGCAGTCAAGGTGAATGTCACTATACGATCCTTTCCTTTAATTTTGATGGAAAAAAGAAATGGAAAAGGAAAGAAAAATCCATGAACACGTGTGCTGCTTGTTAAAATTAAAAAGCAAAATAATTGCTTCAGTTTAGTGTATAATTTAGAGACTAAAAATTTAGAAAACGAAAATAATATGAGATACAAAATCACATTAAAATTGTGACTCTCTTCATGGTCCGTCGTTCGAGGGTTAAATTACATATCTGTCATTATAATTAGTAATACTTTTCTATTTTTATAAAAACCTTCAAGCTTATTAGTAAAACAAGATTCTATTGTTATTTATACGCAATTTTCTCCGTATCTAAATTGTAATTGCAACAATTCAAGGTAATGAAAATCTAAGGAAGCAATTTTCATTATACCTTGACTATTTCTTTTCTCCGTACTTATCACCACGTGTGGTCTTATATAGTAACGTTTAAATAAGACACTCTTTCAATCCACCGCAAATGAAAAAAAAAGTGACTGTCTGAAATTGTTATTTTGTCCATCAAATAATTAAACGTAGGTATCCAATGTTACTTTATTTGAAATAAACTTCTATCGGTTTTTAAGAATATTGTTTTCAGTTTTCCAACTAAGATTTTATAAAGTTTTTTTAAATTACTCGTCGGATAAGGAAAAGTAACCCCCACGAAAAAATGGCGATGGTTGTCCATTTAATTTCATCGCCGATCGTCCAATTACGCGAGATAGCGTCAGTGAGTCATCAATTCAAGAGACTGTAACGCATTTGAAAAAGTCTCAAAAGAGGCGAAGACGAAGAACATTTATCAGGCTTATCGGTTCGATCTGAAAGGGTGAAGAAACACTGTTTAAACTGCACGAAGATGATGTGCTTGGACATAAAGTTAGTCTCGCGTTTACGAGGAGTCTCGTCGACGAGTAGCGCGACGAACGTTTCGGCGACGACCCCCTCGTCGGCAACCTCGACCTCGTCGACGACCGCTTTTCTGGAGAAGTGCAAACGTGGCAAAGGAAGAAGAGAAAGCACCGGAGACGCGAGCTCGGTGACCGAGAGCGACAGCGAAGAGGAAACGTTGCCGATCGGTCCTGAGATGATTCGTCGGAACAGATCAAGATCGGTTTGCGTGTCTGCATTGTCGTCTATGCACCAGGGGCATCTGCGTCGACGAGCCAGCCACCATGTGTACGTTCTTTGACACTGTTTTAAATGGCTGCCAAAATGAATTTGCTATTCTCAACATATTCGGGGCGTAAATAAGTTTTGCTATAAGATATGCCCGTTTAATTTAAACAAAAATAAAATGCTTTTCATAAGAAAGAGTATAACGCGAGCATTCATATCACCGCCGTACGATAGAAGGTTTATTAGGTAAGCCACATTTTCTGTTGGCAAAGATTTTGACAATTATATCAATTTGAGAATTCCAGTTACAGAAGTACGTAACAATGTTGCAAAACGAAGGACCAGAGTCGCAAGTTCTGCAACAATGTGCCAAAATGAAACGCCCGGGTCGCGAGTTCTGCCACAATGCTGCGAACGGGAGGGTTTCGAAACGGTGACTCTCGCAACAATGTTGCAAATCGAGAAATCGCGATTGGTGATTCGCAACAAGATTTACGGAAGCGGACGAGTCCATAAATGGCAAAAATCTACGGAGGTCCTTTATAAGCCAAAGGAGAAATTACGATGAAAATATTACATCATGAATTTTTCCTATACGTAGATTATGATATAATTTGATTTAAAAGAAAAATAGACTTGGGTTAATCTAGCTGTAGGTAGAAATTTACAGAACTGAATAGAATTTAAAGAACTGCTTTGTTCTATCATTAATGTAACATTCTCAAACGTTTAAATCTAGTATCCTTAGATGTACTGTTGGATACTAGCGGTTTTTCGTGCTTAATTGATACAATCTAGGACCTTCCTTGGTGAGTTGTACTCATTAACCTAGATATTCCTGTGGCAGAAATAAGAAAGAAATATTGGAGGAAGCTCGGCACGGAGATTGTTTCCTCGTCTTTTATTGTTTGCGCTTTTTATTAATATAAAATGCAATAAAAAACGTAGAAAAGAAGTTCCTTATCAATCCTTATTGTAAGAGGTGTATAATTGTTTCAGGTCCACAAATGATACCATTTCCAGGCGAGGAGTTCTTTCCAGACGATATTATGGCAGCGTTGAAATGGTAACTATCTTTTAAATAATTATAACAACGTTGTTCATTATACGTCTTTAAGGTGAAGATCTTTCTTTCAATTTCTTAACTGCTTGTCTAAAGCAAGAGATACTCAGGGGTGGACCAAACAATGAAAATACTTGGGTACTACTGATGCAGACTTTTTTTTTAATTAGCACGATGACTGTCAGAAAAAATTATACATATAGCAATACGAATTTGTTAGGTAAATATACGAACATACAGTTTTTATTTATTTCTAAAATTTCAAAATTTTATATTTCTATATCTCTCAATCCATCCTCAAATTTCTAAATTTCTAAATTTCTAAATATTGAAATTTCCAAATGACCAACTTTAAAAACTTGAAAATTGAATAATTTGTAAATTAAAAAATTTGATGTTCCCAAATTTCTAAATTACCGAATTTGAAAATTAAAAATTTTCCACACTTTTTCCTACGTTTCATATCTAATCACACCATTGCTCATCATCTCTTCAGTAACTTGATTTGTCAATCACTGTCCTATAATAATTCTCACAATACATGGTCCTTTCTACTACGACAGTCAATGCGTTAAATAACATCTTTTATAAGAACTTTCAGTCAAAAAGAAAAGTATGCACCAAGTAGCTAAGCTTACGGGAATAGAGACGTACCATACGAGGAACAATAAAAGTTAATAACGGAAGATCAGGAAAAGAAACATCACAAAACGACATTCGTTTCTTCGGCTTTTCGCGTAGAACGATGCATCGTTTTGAAATTGGAACACGGTCTTTGGTACAGGAATATAATGTAGCTCCTTGAAATCGTGTTTCAGCTACCGCAGATAGAGCAAGACGGCTATGACAATGGGCGAAGATTTCGAGTTGAGAACGGAGATTCTCCTGGGGAGAAAGAGGAAGTAAGAAACGTGTAATTATGTCTCTTTCTTTCTTCTCGTTCTTCTTCCGGACCATTTTGTTTCCTTTCTTTTATTTCGTGTTCCATTTGACCTGACAAGTACCATTCGTGTTGGATCATCTTTTTTTGAAAATCTAACATAAAGGATAGTTGTCTAGATCCTATCGCTTAAGATACTTTACGTAATATTTATTTTATTTAGCGCTATTTATTTTCAAATAAGTATGAAAATAAAATTATCTTTATTTTAATTAAATTCAACGTGTGCAGATGTTCGGATCACCGAGTACACCGATATTGGAAAACCCTGAGTACCAAACGCGTTGGTACTTCAAGTACTTCCTCGGCAAACGTGAGTAAAGTGCACCTCTGTATTTTTAAGATTTTTAGATAACAAGTGCATTAGATAACAAGGCCGATAAGTCAACTGTTCTTCGCTAACAGTCAAGTGTCACTCCTTTGAATCATAAATGCGCAACGCTTGGTTTATAACTGGACTGTTGATGTTTGAACGCTATTTTGCAAATATATAAAATTGATATTTCAATATAATTTCTTTCTTAACCCTCCGCGAACCCTTCGAGTCCGGAGTTGATATTTGGGTCTCGAAATTAGGGGTGCTCGAATTAATTTATGTACTGGACAAACTTTTGGGATCTCACCCGAATCAGAAAAAAATTCTCAACCCGAGCTCGTTTCAAATTTTCGGGTACCAGCAACCCTAATATAGGTACATTTGCAATTTGTGATTGATGATTTAATCGATCATTAGTATTAATCAAATTACAAATATTATTCAACTTTCTAGCACTAACTAACATAGAAGAGATGTATCTTCTTTAAACAGGCTGCATGTTTTATAAAAGAATTATTTTAATATATTCTATCCTAGATATTGTTATTATCAATATTAAATACTCTACATACATTAGGTATCAGACTAAAGTTTGGAAAATGCTAAAATATGGTAAATATTTACAACTAATTATCTGTTTTTATTTGTAGTACATCAAAACTATATAGCTGCTGATCCAGAAAGGAATTGTCTATTCTTGTCGGTGGTAACCAACGAAGTCAGCGATCAAAGTGTACCACATTACAGAGTGATTTTATGGACAAAATCAGTGAGTATATAAACTAATTTCAATTTAATTGTAACTAGTTTAAACATCAGATGCATCTTAGACGTACGATCCCAGTTACGTCGTAAAAAAATATAATGTTAATAATTAAGGGTTAAGATTCTTTTCCTAATCATTTCTTTTGTGGCGCACGATTCAGGGCGCACAAAAGATATCGCTGCCATATTCTGCGAACAAAACGATAACTATAAGACAGATCCTGAGGTAAATAGTTTTCAACTTTTCTTTAAATTCCAGCATAATAGATAGTCGGTAATTAATCATTTGAATTTCAGTAATTTCTTTGGATTGGATAAGCTTGACAAAGCTCCTCGCGAGGTTTTTGCGCCGGAGATACAAAAAGTAAGTGACAGAGCGTCATTTATTTTAACCGTTTCACTCTACAAACGCAGCTAAGAAACGCAATTAATTTATAAGATGGTATTACCTCAGTTTTATTATTTTTGTTCCAATGATTCTTGAAATTAACGCTTTATATTTCCAAAGAATAAAACTTAAAAATTTATTTTCTTAAAAGTTATTACCATTTATTCACATGGAACGAATTAAAATCGTCTAAAAACATCATCTGTAAAGACTTTCATTACAAAATTATTTATTAAGTTTGAAAAGAACGACATAATTAAATTTCGTAATTATTATGAAATTTAATTATTTCAATATTATAGGATCTGTTGCTGTTGGAGGAACAAGAGGGTTCTGTGAATTTCAAATTTGGCATAATATATGCAAAGAAAGGGCAAACCACCGACGATGAGATGTTGTCTAACGGTAAATAAATTTAGAATTAAAATTTATTGGTTTAACGTATTATTAACAGTAAATTGAATATGAGTTATTTATATTCTGCTGAAGAAATAAGGAATTCTCTATGTATAATGACTTATTTATAGAAAAGGGTAGCCCTGACTTCGACAAGTTCCTTGAGATCCTGGGCGAAAGGATACGATTGAAAAACTGGGACAAATATCGAGGTGGTTTGGACGTGAAAGGTACCATTTGTTTTTCTAAAATTTCTTTTTATCAAAACACGTTCCATGCATTACAGGGTATAACAACATCAATCATTTTTGATGCAAATAATACGCCAGAAAAAAATTAACATACCAGAAAAATTAGTCTTCAGTCTCTTATAAGTTGTAATAATTAAAATTTCAAAAATATTTTTGTAAGAAGGACATCTCAAGTTTTTTTTTTTTTAATGTAACCATATATTTCCGTCAAAAGCCAGAAATCTATTACAAGAAGATTGTTGGATTTTTATTACAACAAACTATATATAAAAGGGAAATGCCTATTTTAAATCTACACCAGCCTTTCCATCACCTCGATTTCTACTTTTCACGAATTTCTGTCAACATTGCAGGCGACATGACGGGAAAAGAAAGTTATTATACAGTGTACGCGGGGCATGAAGTTATGTACCATGTGAGCACGATGCTTCCTTACTCAAAGGACAATCCGCAACAGCTAGAGAGAAAGCGGCACATCGGCAACGACATCGTGAATATCATTTACACGGACGACCCTAACGCGATAGACACTTTCAACCCTAATTGCATCAGAAGTCAATTTACACGTAAGTTGTTAATGTATCGTTAAAACACCCGATATGCTAACAAAGGTAGTGCATGATTTTCCAAACATCGATTTTCTATAACTTTCTACAATTATAGAGGATATAAAAAATAAGCAATTTTCAAAATCAGCGCACATCACTCAACAAAGGTGAATTTGATTATCTATTTTACGAACATACAGATGTGTTTGCGGTGGTGTCAACCGAGGATAATGGCAAAGGATGGCGAGTAGCCATATTTTGCGACGAAAGTGTACCACTGTTTGGGCCCAGTCTACCCTGTCCGCCCGTCTTCGAGGATCCCTACACCCTGAGGGAGTTTCTTTTAGTGAAACTGATAAACGGAGAAAAAGCGACGTTCAACACTCCAACGTTCGCCCAAAAGAGGGAGAGAACATTGGACGCCCTGCTACGAGACATGTACCAGGAACATTCGCAGGATAGCAAAAGCAACGTAAGTTTATTCACCGATAGCACCCTTTCCAATCATAAAATTTCCTTTCTGAGAAATTTCGAGCAAATTTATTTCCAATTATATTGAAAATTCAAGCTACGAAACGTCGATCCGACAACGGATGAAAAAGATGAAAAATATGAGATTCGGTGTTTATTGGCTTGTCCCTCTCCTCCCTTGGAAAAGACACACAGTGAAATTTTCACAGAGCATGTTAAACCGACGAGCACTGTCGGACGTGGTGGAGGCTCCAGGTCGACGTCGCGAGGAAACACGGGCCGTGGAGATGGTGCAGGTCGGCCAGGCTTTGAAGTTGGAAGCGATCGTTAGGGGTCTCGCGCCAACTTCTTTAGCCACAGCCGGACCTTTGAAGCCAAGACCGTGGGAGCCACGGTGCATCTACCCGGATTTTCCCCACGAAATCGTCTGCGGTGACGTTTGGTTAGACAACAGGCTGATCCTCGCCAGCGAGAATGGAACGTTTCTGCTCGAAGGTGAGACGAAACTGTATAGCCTTTGAAGCACTGTTTCGTAACTTTTACAATTTCCTTCGCGTTTTACAGAGCTCTAAAGCTCTCTCATCCTACCACATCGATTAAATTTTCCCCAATGAATATGACAATAAATTGAGAAATTGACTACCCATCAGTACCCACCAGTGAGCGCCGTGGCGCACCACTTGCACGTGGGTATACTGCACCAAACTGTTTCCAATTTCTAAAACAGATGCAGACTATATTTAAACTATTATTGCAGACAGCATATCGCACAGATTAATCTTCGACGAGTCCGTGCAGATCAAGCAACTGGACGTGGTGGAGCAACACGGTATACTATTGTTTCGTACCGGGGACAAAGGGAAAGAGAGCAACGTTTACGTGTTTCGTTTGAAAGAGTTTGAGAACAACACCGGTAACAGATCTGCCGAAGTACCGAACGACCGTGAGGAGGATCAGGACGGCGAAGACAACGGCGAAGATGAGGATGCCGAGGATGACGGGGACGAGAGCGAGGACAATGATTGTGATAATTTTACAAGAGCCACAGCGAAATTCAAGCCCGTCATTCGTCGTACTCGCGCTCGTGTTCGTCCATTGGCTGTCAGAGGACGAACCCACATAAAAGAAAGAAAACTACCACGAACGAGAGGATGCAATTTATACAGTATTACCATGCCTGGTGGTTCCCATTTACGCATGGTACATCTTTTCATTATGTTTATATTTAGTATAAGTTAGTATAAAATACAATGAAAATATTTCATTAAATAAATTTATTTATATGTTCGTGTGATTTTAGTGTGTGGTAGTTGGACGACGTTTGACGGTTCTACAGTGGAAACACAGTGCAGCATGGACTGCATGGTGTTCTGCAGCAGACACGGATACCATCGATGGTTTTCTATTTGTGAAGGAATTCAACGTGAACGAAACCCCTTCTTTAGTGACAATAATGGAGAATACGAATAATGAATGGACGCTATGCTGTGGCGTGCGACATCATTTTGAACTGATCTCATCTTCTGGAAGCACAAGAGTCCTTCACATCGAAGGAACACCAAAGCCTCATCTAGTGGCTGCCTTAAATCTCTGTGAAGACGAGGAACCTGAACTACTGCTTTGTTATAATAGTACGTAAATATTAGCTTATTTAATCATATTCCATTATTCGATTATTCTCTTTCACTACATCCTGCTTTTCTCTGGAAAGGGGCCAGAACCCTTAGAAATGTTTAAATTCTGGAATTTTGAAATTTTTGAATTCTAGAATTAAAAGTATTTATTGCTGAAATTGTTGATAAGATGTATAGAGCGCGGCAAATTTAAAACGTTTAAGAATGTCGGTAATGTGGCGCGCCACAAATAATGGTAACAGGTAACCCCTTCTCCCGCCTCTTCAATTGCTCTTTCGGCAATCAGGGACATTCGGACATTCGTTTCTAATCAATTTATTCCATTTTAATTATTAATTCAAAATTTTTAAATAATTTAAAAAAGTTTAAGCGCGGGGCAATATTGAACCTCATTGCATGCGAGTGAATATTTCATTGATACTACATTCAATGTGCATGCGCGAAAAACTTATCACATTTAACATTATTGCTTTGAAACAGATTAATGATTAAAAAACAACACTATATAAAAGACTGGTATATCCCCAAGTAATGTTACTAAAAAATACAATATAAGATAAAGATCAATTTTAATCTGTACAGACACCTGCCACTTTCAAAAGATATGGGAGGAGAGTACCACACCAACGGAATTCGATTTCAACTGGAATTCTGTACCGGCAGCAATAGGTAAACTTAAGTTTTTATTTTTATAAATAAATAGCACGCTTACCTTAGTGGTGGTCAATTTTCAGCTTGTGCCTTTCCTTATATAATTGCCTTCACTAACGATACCATGGAGATACGGTTAATCATCAATGGAAACCTGGTGCATACGATCGCAATGCCCAATTTGAATCTGTTCACATCCAAACAAGATATCTTCTTCTCGACGACAGCCCCGGAATTTCTACCAGGCAAATGCGAAAGAATCCGGCTGGACACAAAGCCTGCGGACAAAGAAGAACCGGTTTCCAGTCCATCTCCTTTCACACAATCTTCGTCATCGTCCCGAACTAATCTGCAAAGTATGTACCGTATGTTGAAAGCGATTCATAATTTCCCGCCATTTACGCAACATGAACTATTTCATAAGAGAACATTGCATAGAGGCTCCTTGAGTCCTTGGCTGATCACGCATGCGCATTAACACAATTAATGTAGCGTACGTTACGATGTATACTACGTAGGTCACGCTAATACAATATCTTATTCATTACATATTTATATACAATTTAATATTGAAGTTTTCAATTAAATAATTTATATTTTATTAAGAAAACGCAACTCTCGGAAATTGTGGAACTTTTATATTTCCCTCTTTAAGGGTTTTTAAAATATCGCGCACAACGCTAGCCAATGAACGAGTGCGCATGCGTGGTTAGAAGAAGACACAAGGGATTCTAACCCCATTAAATCTTTTTACACGGTGGATACAGAACATGTCAAAAAAAATCGTTGATTTGCAATGTAGTATAAAATTTGTATTACAGTAACGCAAAAATTAAACGCGTAGATATGAATGATGTAATAAAATACCGTGTAACAAGAGACCTGAATGTATCGTACTTATGCACTTATACTTTAGTATATGGTTCACGCACACTATTCTTTTATTTCTATGATTCTAACCTAAAAAATAGAAAGGTGTACTTACAACAGTGCTGCCCTTTACTTTCACAGACAATCATGGTGAATGGAAACCAATAAGAATCTATCAAATACCGCTGCAAACATTGTCCAGAAGCACTCTGTCGAATTGTTCGCAAAGACGGTGTCCCAGTCCGGCCGAACCGGAAGTCGTCTCTGCTCCACCAACCAGCGACAAGAGTTTCCTAAGCGTCGAACCTCATCGGGCATTGAGTAGATCCTGCAGTAGCAGTCCAACGCCAACACCGACGAACCTGATACCACCACGAATCAGAAAATAAATAAATTTTGATAATTTACTAAGATTTTAACGGATTGCAGGTACCTGAAGCTTGTGCCTCGGTAGGATGAAGGAAACGCAGTCGTGTAGCTAGTTTTACTGCCGTTGCAACAGCAATCGAGATGCTACGTGCGAAAAGTGCCCTTGGCGTCTTTTAAGTGAAAGACTATTGAAGCTAACTTTCTTTTAGATAAATGTTTATCTGCCGATGAAACTGTGTAATGTTGATCACCGGAGTAAAATATGGAAAAAATAGGAAGTGGGTATTTAGGAAGCAGAATGGATTCGTTATTGACAGATGGGGTACCATTATGCTAAAAGAAAATCAGCTTTATTTAAAGAAAAATGAAATGACTTCTATTTATACTTGTATCAAAAAACTTGTATTAAAAAAGTATTCATTTCCATTCCAAAAGCAGTCTATTTCCATTTTCAACGGAAAATTTTGGAAAAAGTGCAGTTTCTTATAAGACGTTGCAAAAAACAAAACATAATAAAATTTAATTTACAACAAAATTTGGTTGTGAATTGGTTAATCTATTCTCCAGATCCTAACTTAATCGAAAGGTTTAGAAAATTGTCTTTAACAAATTTATTAAAGTTCGTTCATTGCTAAGTTTTTTTTTCTAGTTTTTCCTGTTATATTACAAGTATGAAGTTAAGGTTTGTTAAAAATAAATTTTCAAAATTTTAATAAAAACAAATTCTTTTTGATTAGGTATGTTCACTATGTTGAATTGTTATGAAAATATTCTTGCTCTAACCGGAAATAAATACTGATTTATAGATGGTTCATATATAAATATGGAACAAAATATAGTAGTCATAATAGAACCGATTTTCTTGGCTTAATGATACCCCTTTTTTTGTCTGACGGGCTGTGCTAATTTACGGTTGTTAAAAAAAAAATCGTAGCATCCATATGGCTACGTGTATGTATATACACACATAAACAAATAATTAATAAAATGTATGCTGTCGTTGATCTTTTGCTGTGAAATTTCTCACGCCGTTGTATCGCCTAGCGATTTTTTTCTGTCATTTCAGATTGTTCGGTTTCTACGTGTATGTATTTATTGCAAATAAAAAGAAAACAAAAAGCTGTATAATGAAGATTGATACGTGAAAATTTTTCATCTTATTTTGGTTCAGACAATCTATAATTTTTAGAATGTATAAACTTTGTGAGACAACGTTCCGTAGCTAACTTGAAATTTATAATCAAATTTATATCTTCAAATTCTACATATGCACACTCGCGATCAAATCAGGGTTCCTCGGAGATTACCGGGGTTACCGCCTTTCCCCTTAGGCGTTTCCGTGGAGAATGACAATATAGCGAAGGAGGCCCTATGTATAGGTCTGTGACCTCCCACCACTTGCACATAAACGTTTACGCGGGAAATTTGAATGAATATTTTCTTTGTTATTCGTACTGTTCAGTTATATACTAAAGTTTATAATATTTAATAATTAAAGATTATATTTTTCATTTCTAAATTACTTTCAATATTGATATATTAAATAAAATAGGTGTTACTCCTTCTATATAGGCATTTTCCCTGTGGAAGCCTGATTTGATCGCGCATCATGTACAACACCAAAGACAGTAGGCTTCCTTACAGAAGAAATTGTCTAAATATTAATTGAAAAGAAGATCATATAATTTTTAATTTTAAGTATTATAAAGATTACTATACAACTTAGAAATATTACAGAAAATTTTAAGTCATCATTTAATGTTTTCTGAATTAGGATTTTAAAAATTCCTCTTTCCCGCCATTTTCTCTAGGGAAGCCTACCATGCTCGGTGCTGTACATTCTGCAAAACTTTGTTTCAGACCTTCAAGTACATTTCGTACATGGAATTAATGGATTTCAACATTCTGAATACTTTGCGGTGCACGTAATAAATTGAACTGTAAAAGGGTGAAGCGAGAAAGATCAAATCAAGGCTCGTGTCACGTTGGAAAGGACTATAGCTCACGTTTCCTGAAACGCGTTCAAACGGGTTCGAATCAAATGCATTCCGCAACTGTTTTGCCGCGCCACCGAGAATTATTATAGATGCCAATCGCTGTTAAGCTGAGCTAAAGGAAAATGCTTTGGTGACCCCGGTTAGTCTCGAGCGTTGAACCACGATCATTCACGTTTACCTGACTTATGCCGTCAATCGAACCTTATAATAACCGTAATCGCCTTTTCTTTTTTTTTTTTTTAAAAAGAAATTCGAGTTTCTCCTGATGTTCGAGTTCTCCTTTTAATAGCTGCAGTAATATTTAAGTACAGGCAAAGCAATAAAATAATCAACAAATTTGAAACAAACTGTATCACATACCAATATTAAAAGTAATAAAAATAAAACAAAATAAAATTATAATTCCATTTTCTTAAGTATATTTTATAAAATTTGAAGTAGAAAAGTGATTTAAACAAGTGGTGGAATAGCGTGAGTCACACATCAGGTTGATTTAGTGGCGACGCCTTTGGTTAGACTAAAACATGCGTCCGCCATATTGGAACCAAGCTTTCGGATAATATATCTGTTCATTTTCGAAACGTTAAAATGAAACTTACTTAAAAAAACTTTCTTCTGGGTTCATTTAAACGTAATCTATTCGATTAACATTGTTAAAATTCTACTAAATATTTTAAAAGTAAGTTCAATATACTTATTGCTAGTTGAAACATAAATAGGTTAACTTTTAAACAAAGTTGATAGTACTGATTTAAAATTCTTTGCAACTATTTTTTATTCAATTTCATTTACTATTTAAAGAGTAGAAGATAGATGATGTGAATAATAATTTAAAACCTAGTAATTTATTTATAATTTAGTAACACATTGTACTTGGATTAATATAGAGTGTATTCGTTATTACTTAAATAACTGAAACAAACATATCTTGCAGATATTTTTTGACTTAAAGAAGAAAAAACTTCGCGTAGTACTAATCGTTTACGAATCGTGTAAATAAACTCTTATCCTGAAACGTCGCGCCAATTAGTTACTTTGTTTTACTTAGCTTGGTTGATAAAACAGTATAAAAAAATTCACTTGAAACGGTTGCTCCAGTTTCAGTTATTTTGTACACATGTTTCAAGTACCATTTCAAATCAATTTCCAGTCCAGGTTCAACTACGTTCCATACATCGACGCACGGGCACAGCTACAGGCACAGTAACGTCGTCCATCTGGTGGCGATGCACTGTACTAATGGCTGGCTGGCTGGCTGGCGCACACGAGTGTAGAAAGAGAAAGAAAGAGAAAGAGAGACACAGGTACGCGAGACGAGCTTGTGGTGAGGTAGCTACCAGTCAACAGCAGAGACGGAGACGGAGAGTTCGAGGTAGCCCGTGCTTCTAGCTGGCTGTGGCTCTCGTTGTAACTCGTTGTAACGTGACGCGAAGGTGTGCCAAGCTCTTTCGATTGCCTGTTACTTCGTACGACGTACGAAGACGCCCGATTGCAGGTCTATCGTAGTGTCGCGGATTGAAAGTGTCGGTAGTGTTGTGTGATCTGTCCTCGTGTGCCAATCAAAAAAAAGAACTGTATCAGCAGTAGCAGCGTAGGTACATCATCGTGGAAAACTGTCAAGAGTGTGTGTCCCAGACGCTGGCTGTGAACAGGAAAGCATCGGACAATCGTCATCGCAGGCGTCGGATTGCACCGAACATAAGGTAAGAAACGCGGCTACGCGGAAGTATATATATCAGAAAGTCAGAAGCGAAGGTAAAGTCTAAAATCGTTTGGTAGAGTAGTCGGTCGTTACGCGTACAGAGGTTATGTTTCTCGATGACCCCTCAACTCCCTCCTCCTCCTCCTCCTCCTCCTCCTCCTCCTCTTCCTCCTTCTCCTCGTTATCCCCTTTCCTTTCATCGTTCTCTTCCTCTCTTCTCTTTTGCTTCGCCTCCTCCTCCTTCTACCTCCTCTCCCTCCCTTCTTCTCTTCTTATCTCATTCTCCTTACGCCTTTCTTTTCATTTCTGCAAAACGTGTTTTCATCGATAGAAAATCATTTTTTCATTTTACCATAGGACCGTGGCTCTCTCTATTCCTTTTAATATCTAAACGAGCGGCGAATTTCAATGGTGGATCAATCGATCGCCGATCGTTTGGATCTTTCTCTGTCTTTCCCTTTCAGCGGTTGTCCCTTTTGTCTCTCTACTCTGTGTCCTTCCTCTTTCTCTTTCTTGCCAGCGAGCCGCGGAGGCATTCGACACGCACGCTCCGCACACCGATGTATTCCACTTCTTTCCTGTAAGACCGTGTTCGTAGCCTTTCCCGTGGTAACGAGTTTCGTAACTTCCCTCGATACAAGAGTCACGAACTATCAGCTGTCAGCCTCCGTAGCTCTCGTACCACCTGTCCAAAACTCTCCGAGTCTTCCATTTCTCTGTTTCACGATTTCAACTCTCTCCTCCCTACCCCTTCTCTATCCTAAACCACTCAAACGTTTTTTTAGTTCTCTTTTTTTGCGAGGGTGAAATAATTCGCACGAATTTTTCATGATTTCCGTCGATTGCGTTTGGAACACGATATAAACGCGTGTCGAGGAACGTGGCGAGGTAATCGGAGCAGCAGGCGAGGCTAACCGAGTTGGACAGTCATGTTGATATTTCGGCGCGCAGGCTTTCTAGCTTGACAGCGTGGCCGGCCTTGAGCCCCTCCGCACGTCCTCCTCTTGCACCCTTCACCTCCATCCCCACCCCATCCAGCTAATACGACGATATACAACTGCAGATCAGTGCTCCTCAACGCGAGATTCTTGTGCCCGTACTTACAGGGGATTTTCTTCGATCGCGTGCCACCGGCGGCCAACTTCTTTCTCTCTTATAACGTGCTGCATATGAACCTTTCGTGTTCCATGTAAACCCATTAAGCAAAAGAAACGAGTTATCTCGTCCTTTGAAAGTATGCCCATAGATAGATAGTTACAAGTTAACTTAATTGTAAAATAATCTTTTTTAGTTTACTTTAGTAACCTCTTCGATTGAATATAAGAATATTTGAAAATTATTCTTCAGCTGCAAAATAAAGTTACACCTGACTTCGTCGAGTTCGCTTTGTTTGCGATGATCAATGCACGTTCATCGAAACGTTATCCTAGTATTATCAAAGCGAAGGTCGAAGCGTGGAATCTAACGCGTAGACACGTTATCTCTGATCAAGGAACTTCGAACGAAAGTCTGACATTTTACTTGCGATACGTACCTGTTGGACTTTAAATAACATTCATTAAATAAGAGAAATCTCCATTTATCCCAGAATCAAACTTGGACTCCCGGTACTACGAAAATAACTGTTTTATACGTACTATACGTTTAACTATTCTGTTATCTTTTACTATTCACCTTTCTTTCTTCCTTTTCTCTTACGGCTATTCTTTTTTTTTCTCTCCCACTACTTAAGCCTTTCTCTCCCGCTCTCTTTTCGGAATAACAGAAAACCATGAAAATTAATTAGACGTACTTCTAATTATAAGAAAAATAACCATATACAAATAATAGACACGAAACGGAGAAATACGGTAATTGGAAAAAGAGGAATAAAAAGGAACAGAAGGGGGCGAGAAAAATAGAAGTAGAAGGGGCACGAGAAAATCGCTCGCTCGAGGCTGACTGTTACAGAAAAAAGGAAACGGGATCGAATGGATGGGGCGTTAGCCTGTAGCGGTATACGAGTATGCAGCCAATAATAACGTTATTGACATGACATTGAAGGCTGCTGATATTTTATCCTATGTGCATAATGTTGCAATAGAAAAATTCCTGTCAGAATGCACGATAAACGTGAATGAGTTTTTCGGAATATAGAATAATACCGAAAATTGGAGAATGATCACGAGTTTCTGTTTCTGAATAGCTTAGGTTTTTCTGATAAAAATATTTTAACCTAAGAATTAAATAAACCTATTGACGATTATATGTTTTTAAATTTTCTATAATTGATTAAATTTTTTTCTGTTCAATTTACCTTGAGCTGATAATAAATTAACGTCAATAACAATACGTTTCCTATTTTATATACAAAAATTACGTTTATAAAATTTGATAGCTATGGATGAATTTGAAATTAACATGAAATTTTATTTGCAAAAAGCTAATAAGTTTTATGCCTTTTATGAATGAGAAAGGTTAATTAATTGAAGAAAAAAAAATGGAAACAGTGTAGCAACTTATCTTCGGTCCTATCAGTTTCAGCTAAACGCAAACACGGTAATAAAATAATCGAACTTGTGCAAATCCATTATCGTTACTCATTAGGCGTTGATATTTCATATTTCACGGAAACATGTATTGCTATCTGACATTTCTGATAAATTTATAAATACAACAGCTCTTTGTAGTCTTTCAAATCGCTTTTGATTTGTGATACATTTTCTTCAAGTGTTACGTGAGTTACTCACAATCAGAAGTTAACTCCCGAACAGCGGATGCTGAGTCAATCGACACTCATACTTACAAAACATATTATTACAAGGATATTAATCTAAAATTAAATGTATAATTTTTAAACGAAATAATTTCATATATTGGAAGATTAATTTTCGGAAGAATAGCGTTAAAATTTAGAAAATAAAAATAATATGAAATACAAAATTAAATTAAAATTAAATTAAATTAAAATCCATGGTCCGAGGATTAAATTGATTTACTTCGCTTTGCTAAATACAATATCGAAAATAAAAGCGGATTAACAGTTATTTTTCCTAGTTATTTTGCTAAATATGTTATGGATAAAAAAAAAATGAATTAAGAACAATCCTTTACAATTAATAAATAAAGTAACTGCAAAAAAGCAAAGTATGCCAATACATTTTTGATTCGCTTTACGTCTGCAATATTTTGATGACTATTATAGTGAATATTTCTATGGGTAAAATTCGCGTTATTTCACTCTCGAACGACGGACCATGAAGAAAGCCCCAATTTTGATTTAATTTATTACTTCATATTGTTTTCATTTTCTAAATTTCACACTGTTCCATATATTCTTCCAATATATGAAATTCTTTCGTTTAAAAATTATACATTTAATTCTAGGATAATATCATTGTATATGATTCATAAGTTTGGGTCTCAATTGACCCAGACTTCGTAAGCCAGCAGCACGGTGTGACATACGTTGTCTGACCTGTGCAAACTTCTCAAATACAACACACTGTTCTTGTATGTATCATATTGCGCGGAGAGATTTCCGTGATGCCCGTCTTCACCCTAAAGCTTTCAAGGTAACGAGTACTTTGATGATAGAGAGTGCAAGATGCAGGTAAAACCCGTCGGCGTGGCGGCGACGGGTCTGTCCACAACACTACCTCTCCTGGTAATCGCTACTCAAGATTGCGCAAGCTCCTTCTCGATCTTATCACGACCTCACAGTGTATACCTACATTATATGTGCATTCGCGGCCTATCGTGTGTGCAACACGATATACATACAGAGTGTTTAACAAAAGCTACGGTCAAATTTCAACAGCACGTAGTACTTGTCAAAACAAATCAAAGAAGTTTTTAAAATAACTGCTAATCGGTAGTTGACGGCGTATAGCGGGTTCGCGTTATATTTGCCACCTGAGCGATTTGACTTTGACCATAATGTAAATAGGTATACGCGCATGTCCGCGGATTACGTATAGAATTGTATGTCGCACGAATGCCTTTGGTCGCGAATATGCAGTTCCACACCCTGCACGTGAAAAGAGAAAAAAGAGACGGGGAGAAGGAGGGTATGTACTGGAAACTCCCTGGATCCTTGAGACGCGGATAGGCCTAGTGCGACTTATGAATATTGATGAACCTTTCCCGGCGTACTGGCCTGACCGCACCTCGCTCGTTTCTTGCTACTCAACGCCGATCTTCATTCTTCTTTCTTTTCCTTCATTCCAATTTTCTGAATTCCTTGAATGTTCAATTACATTTTTACTCGTATTCACCTAACCTTTTACTCATTCGATACGGTTATTATAAACGCACCTATCGGCTGGATAAGAACATCTGACCGTGTTTGCAAGTAAATTATAGGGAATTTGTTTAATGTGCTACAAAGTGTAATGTAAGTGTTCGTTATTGACTCTCATACGTACAACAGTCTGGTGAGAAAAAAAATTGGCATTGCTGACTTGCTGTGTATTCAAGGTATTGCGAGAGTCGCGAGCCCTGAAAAGTTGCGGACACATAGTTCATACGAGAAAATATATACGCATTCTTAACTGACTCACCGCGCATGTATGCACATGTATGTCTATTTACAAAAAAAATGCCTTATACTACTTTCAAACATGCTGATAGGAAACAGTATAATCGAAGAATTTAATTAACCCTTAACTACCGTAGTTTAAAAGGCTTTTTAATATTTACCTAACACTGTAAATACACATAATTAAAAGTTGCACTCGAAAGATTGATAAAAATATCTCCATGAATTTCATTATATGACGTGCACCTGATTGACCTTTTCGTACAAGGAAATGAATTGAAATTTTTTAATTCAAGGAATACATTACTCCGAATAACGTAATGAAGATAGATATTTTCGATAACTTATAGGAGCGGGATGAAAGGGCAAATAACAGAGTATGTATTAGCAACTGAAATACAACAGGAAACTGTCGCCTTTTCATGAATGCATCGTGAACGGCATGCAAGATTGGGTAGGTTAGGTTAACTCGAATCGCGTCT